AAAGGTGTAATTGTCTGTCTGATTTAACCATTTCAAGAAGTGAAAAGTCAACTTCAGGTGAATTCATGAGCCAGGGTGGAATTTCTATCGTTCCAAATAACTGAATTTGGTCAATATCAATGTTTGTGTTTTGTAAAAGAGTGGAAATCCAAATACCGAATGATGGAATGGTTTTTGGTTTGTTTTGAACGGTTTTATAATTTGGATCAAATACAAGTGAAAAACCAGGATTTGAAGGATTTGACTTTAGCTGAATGGTGTATGGCAAAGCCAATTTATTTCGACGGCTATATAGTTATGGTTCGTTAGCCTCTACATAGATGCTTACTGTGTGTGTGGTCTTAAAAGCTCCGAGAGCGAGCCTGAGACCTTGGTGATGAACAGCGTCTAATGATTTGAGATATGAAGGTCTAGCAGAATCATACACATTGGAACCGTAGTCTAATTTTGATATAATAAGAGCTCTATAAAGTCTTAGCAAATATTTTCTATCAGCTCCCAAATCTTCCTTTAGAATATTCAGTGCCTTAAGGCATTTGACCTTAAGGTATTTTATACGTGGAAGGAACGACAATTTCCTGTCGAATATTACAACTAAGAACTTTTTTTCAACGATTCACGAAGTTCTTACATTGAGAAAGGTTGATTGTAAGTTTCATTGTTTTCGGAAGAGAGTTTTTTTTCACGTGGGGCCTAATTTTTTTTAAATTTTGTTTGGAATGATTATTTGCAGACGAATTTTTGGGGGAAAAGCAGATCCTAAAGAATTTGCAATATTAAATTTCGATGTGGCTATCTTTCCATTAGTTTTGAAATATCCCATTGGTTTGAATGATGTTTTACCGCTGATTAGTTTAATCATATCCCATACTTTTTTTTGGATGTATTGGAATTTAATTTGGACACATAAGACCTCCAAGACATTTGTTTGTGTAAGCGTATAACACGACGGGCTTCCGCCCGAATAATTTTGTAGTTGTTTAAGCTATCGCTTGTGGGGTAGTTTTTTAATTGCCTCAAAGCGATTTTCCCTATTTTGAATAGCTTTATCACAATCTTCAGTAATCCAAGTTTTTTTTATTGCATTTTCTTTTGGACTTTGGTATACATTCTTCGGCTTTCCCATGAAGTTTTGTAGTAAAGAATTATATCAGGTCTTATAAATTCAGGAAATCAATGGTGTTGATAATTTTGGTACTGAGATGTTCAAATAGAATATTTCAAGTCCGGAATGGAACGACCCTTTCCGATGTTTATCAGCACTGAATGGGTGTACCACAAGGCAGCATTCTTTCGGGATTTTTTATTAACAGTATAGTCAAAACATTATCCCCTTCAATGGAGGGCGCTCTTTATGTCGATGACTTCATAATATTTTATCGATCTAAGCATATGAATAACTTCAATGTATATGAAAATTCTTAAATCAACAAAGGGCAATAACCCTTCCACTGATTAACAAATTATAATGCTACGAAGAATAGAGGAAGTCTAAATGCTAAGAAAACAATTTCATAGAGGGAATTTGTAAAAACAGGGTGTTATATATATATCACTCTCAAAAAATCACAAACTGAAATTTTGAAAATTTTCAAACAACCACAATATACAGAATGCAATCACCAACACACAAGGGAAAAACAGCACAGTTTCACAAAAAATCCTAATTTGATCGATAGAACAAAGAAAAGGACTATTAAAAAACCAAAATTACTACATGTCAATATGATAGTGCTAAAATGCTTAAATAATGCCATGAGACAAACTATAATCATTCTGTTAATATCTGGACAACCAATGGAAATTAAACAGGATTTGCTGATTTTCCAAACAATACTTTTGAACAATGACTTTGATGTTGTATCACGTAATGATGAAACATGCTTTATCTCGAATTACTTCACAAATTATTTTTCTGTTCTTAATGTTAATTTTGGATCGCTGTTTGTTTTACCCGAGACGTTTTATATCAGCCAATGGCCCTGCCGCCTTCCGCATGCATAATAAAGACCGTTTTATCTGAGTTTTAATACTTATGCACTCGTAATGCGTTAAAAGCTACAGATAGTAACTGGAGCTATTTATATGTTTAAATGCTCAAGTGCATCGATAATATTTTAACGATGAATATTTCACATACCACTTAAAATCTCATGATGGCGAGCCTTAGAGAATATATCTTAAAGCGTACATCAATAAAAGTACTCACTGTGCCTGCTTGTGATTCCCAGAAATCGATAAACAGACCAGACTGTATTGTGGTTGTGACTGACCAATACACTTGAACACATTTGCTGTGGGCAGCATGCTAAAGGCCTCTAATATGTTGTTCATTGAGATAAGCAACCAGCTACTACAACATGACCTTGCCACAGAATGACTGGTTATTCGGGGGGTGAGGGTGGGCGGGGGGCGATGAACTATGTAAACAAAGTATTTGTTACTCTACCTCTTTAAGAGCAGTGTAGGAAGTTTCAAATATACGTGTATCATCCTTTGTATAAATCGACTTTTTCAAGTTACTCCTATTTGGATATTGCGAACTAAAAAGCTCTTCACATCTCCAATCTAAAGTTAAATAGAACAAAACGGATTTTTTAAAAAAAATCACTATTGATTATCGGATCTCGATTATATGTGTTATCATAGATACGAAAGTTTGAAAATCACCCATCGTGATTATATAGGAAAAAGAAACGCAATTAGCAGAAAAATTAACATTGTAAATTAAATCCTTGACGTACACCCTTGAAATTTGACAAATGTGTGCATTTGAGTTAGGCCCTATGGTACCGTATTAAAATCACTGATGCATAATTAAACGGCGCACGCCGCTTGTACAAAAGAATAAGAGACAAAAGCACGCTATCTCGAACCCAGTATAAATGATTGGTTCAAAATCTGTGTGCGAATCTTCAGACATATCCGTCTTGATTTCCCACATTTTAAGCATAAACAGTTCACCGTAAAAATGCCACGACTGTCCGAAGTTGACAGGGGTCGTGCCATTTCACTTCTTATGCAAGGTACCCCGCAAAATTAGGTCGCTAATCAATTTGGAGTCCATCCATCGAACATTTGCTGTCTCATCCAAAAACTACATGCCACCGGAAGGGTTGCAGACCGTTCCCGAAGCGGTCGTCTTCGTGTGACGGCGCGTCCGCAGGATAGGGCAATGCGACTTTCTCACCTACGAAATCGCTTTCTGACGGCCACGGAAACAGCAAGGAACACAATTGGGCGTCATCATGTTCCAATTGATACAAAGACAGTGCGTACTCGACTGCGGCGGCCATATGTTGGACCACAGCTTAATGCGCGGCGACGTGCCAGACGAATGCAATTCCGTAAGGCGCTTCCCAATGCAACGTTGGAGAAGGGTCCTGTTCTCAGATGAGTCAAGGTTTTTGCTTTACCGGGCAGACGGCCGACGTCGTGTCTATAGACGTACCCACGAGCGCTATGCAGATGCTTGCGTGATAGAGAATGACCGCTTTGGAGGAGGATCGGTCATGGTATGGGGAGGGAGTGTGCATGGTATCAAGATTCCTCTGGTCGTTATTCAGGGAAATCTCACGGCCGTCCGCTACAGAGATCAAGTCCTAGCGCCGCATGTTGTTCCTCTAGTACAGCAGCGTCAGCTGACGTTTCAGCAGGACAACGCCCGGCCGTACGTAGTGAGGGTTTGCCATGGTTATATCGCAGCAAACAATGTCCCCCACCCTAGACTGGCCCCCAAACAGACCTGACCTCTCCCCAATAGAACATTTATGGGACGAGTTGATGGGTCCAGGACGCACTTCATTTTGAGCGGGGTACTCAACGTCAAATTTGAAAGGTTTACTTAACGTACACGAATAAAATTCTCGTAGATGACATAGTGGTCAACTATCTTCCAGTTACACCATAATTACATTCTAAAACCCTTTTCTATTTCCCGTAGTTGACCTGGAAATTCCTAATTGCGTTTCTTTATCCTCCCAGTATATATATATATATATTTAATAAAAATAGTATATATTTATACAGCATAAGCCACAGGGCATGTCTGACTATTGAATATTTCAACTTGTCTATGGGTAAGCAAGCACTCACAGGGGAATTCGAAAAGCTCTTTTCTACTTAGTTTTCTTAATGGAAGTTATGTTAGCTATAAGTATTAGTTATGAAATAAATATTTCAGAACAAAAAGTCACACAGATAACACAAAACGAAAATTATAAGAATCGCAATGTTGAAAATGCAATGCACTTAATATAAGGGTTCCGAATATTGATTTGAACTCTATGAAAGTATAGACTAAAATAGAATAGTGCATACAACGGTGTGAAATGGATGACAGGAACAAAATCCCGCGGTTTTTCAGTACTTCTGCTCCATTACGCTATACATAAGCATATGCTCCATTACTATATATATGAACAAATGCTCCATTACTCTTTGTCAGAAATTATACTCCATTACTATATACCAATATTTATGATCCATTGTTATATACCAGAGCCTATTCTCCATTACTCTATACATGAACTTATACTTCATTACTCGTTGCCAGAACTTATGCTCCATTATTCTATACCAGAATCTGCGCCATTACTCTTTACCAGATCCTGTTCTAAACTCCTCTTTAGTACAACTACTCTTTAGCACAACCTTTGCTACATAAATTTTCACCAATACGCTTTACCAGAACGTCGGCTCCATAACTCTTTACTAGAATCTAGACTCCATAAATCTGTACCAGGTCCTGTGTTCCGTTACTCTTTACTAGAATATGGGATACGGGATACATTACTCTTTACTAGAACCTGGGCTCCATAATAATGTTTACCACCCAGCGATACCATTGTGTATATATCGTGTTTGGAATACTCAACAAGTCTATGTTAGATGTTTAAAGTGCTTTATTAGGTTCCTCTGATATGTACAATCCCGTTTGGTGTTATACAAAAATATCATGTTATCGTATAGTATGCAGTTCAGGATTCCTCTCGATATAATTATATTACATCCTCAATGGTGAGTTCACATAGCCTCCAGGGTTTAGTGTTTGCACTTTGCATGACAATATGAACATTGGAACAATTGTTACAAACACATTCTATATCACAGTAGGTGATGATCGCAGAAGAATTATAAGACATGATCTTACAAAATTCTACATCGGAGTCGATGCTGCAGTTGTTACTATCGGCGGGTTTAGAGGTTCCGACCTGAAGATTAATGGTATACAAGATTAACAGAAATAACACACAGAAAGATTCACTCATTGTTGTTAAGGCTTCAGTTTTCTTGTGAGAAAGAAACTTAAATATAGTGGGTACACAGAATTATAGAATAATGTATAATCACATATTTTGGTGAGACTGAAATTTCGTGGTTTTCAAAACCTATTTATTACTTTCTCTGACAAATCGTCATTGACTCATTAATCATTGTTCATTAATCCATGCCAACTTCTATTCGTTATATATCATTTGACATTTGTGAAAACGCCATTTTTTCAATCTTTAAGAAAAACCACCACAATCTGAACCATTGAAAGATAACCTGTACAGAATATTGAAAATAATATTTATACCACCAACATAACTTTTACGGTTGTTGTTGTTTTCGTATTATTCTCAGCATTAGAAACAATGTACTTGTTTTCTGTATTTCATCGATCCTACTATTTACAAGGAATGTTTTCTTGTTCGATCATTCCTTTGTAACCATGGCAATTTACACAGATTTATCTTTATATCGTAAATTCACAACGCAACTAACACCTATCTCAATGTGGTTTCCATGTAGAATTAGAGAGTTGACGTGAATTCAATGTAAATTTCGACAATAAAAATGTATTACGACAGGATTTTAATGCAGATATTGACACCTAAACATATGACGTGAACTCAATGTAAATATAGCAACGAACTCAACAACTTACTTGTATACTTTTTTGTCCAATACGTGTACACTCTATGCCTTGACCTATGGCGTGAACTACAAATTTCTGTGACGTCACACCGAACAGACTCATGTTTTTAATCTTCAGCCACAGCATTGGGGGGAAATCCCCTGGGACGGGAAGATCAAAGCACGTGTTTAAGTCCTGGTCCAGGGCATATGGCAACATCCTCAACATGACCTTATTATCATCTTTTACAATGGTAATGTAATCCAACACTGAAACATAAATACATTGTATGTTTGTTTAAATTCATAATTTACTTGTTTTCATGTCAGCCATGTTTCATTATACTTTTATGATCACGATGAATATCTCTTCCCTTTAGATGTATACTGTGCAATACTATATTTTCGTGAGAATTTATTATGGTGGTTTTCATTATTTTTCATGGACTTCTTGTTTCGTAGATCGATACGGTTGAACAAATTAAATTATAATTTTCGTGGTCATATGAATTCGTGGATAAGGAGTGCCCCAAAAATTATCGAAAATCAATCTTCCTATGGAAATTTGTGGTTTTTACAGTATACAAGTTCTCGATGTCTATGGACTATTTAGAACATTCGTCTTTAATGAACACTCGATTTGAAGGAGTTCGTATCATTGTTAGGACGTTTGTTGTACATTCGTGTAATGTGTTAACGTTATTAAGAGAATAAATCCTTTTCCATAATACCAATGTTTATTAAAATATGTTGATTTTTTTTTTTATATATTTCATCTACGTGTATTGTGACGTCATTTGATGTATATTCATTGTATTTATCGGTATTGTGGCGTCATTTGATGTATATTAATTTATCTTATCTGTATCGTAACATCATTTGATGTTTATTTATTTTGTATCTATATTAAGACGTCATTTGATATTTATTGATTTTATGTAGTTTACTTACGTGGTAACCTTACAGCGGTAACGTTACATATCACAATGCATGAACTTGCAGAAAAGGAAAAGTAGGCGATGACTTTAGGAAACTCAAACCTGTACACATCACTGCCGTTATTCCACTGTAAATATAATATTATAGAATTTACTTTGAATAGATATAACTGACAAGGTTCTCCTATTTGCTTTTGCGTTTTTGTTCCACTGCAATGCATATCTTGTTATAAATGTTCTCATCTCATACACATTTTATTTTCAAAGTACCAATGGGATATTTTGGTGTTATTGTTCCCACGCCCGTAATATTTTGTTGTTAATGTTCCCATGCCTTAAATATTTTGTTTTCAAAATTTCAATACTTTAATATTTTGTTTTCAATGTTCCTAAGCCTTGAATGTTTTGTTGTAAATGATCCTCCGCCTTGAATATTTTGTTGTCAATAGTCCCCGACTGAATATTTCGTTGTCGATTTTCCCTCGCCTCTAATATTTTTTGCCAATGTTTCAAAGCCCGAGATATTTTGCTGTTAATGTTCCAACACCTTAAATATTTTGATGTTAATGTTCCACTGCCTTGAATATTTTAATGTTAATGTGCCTAAGCCATATATATTTCAACATGCAATGTCCCCGGGCCATAAATATGCTGTTGTCAGTGTTTTCACTATTCAATACATTCTGTTTTTAATTGTTCCCACGAAGATCTATTTTGTTTATAGGGTTTACAATGAATAAATTTAAAAAAGAATAGTGACAAGGGTAAAATCAAACGGACCAATGACATGTACAAGGTGAATAAGGTGTTCTGGAAATCTTAGCGTCTTCAACGGCAGTCCATGGAAATCATGGCCAATACAAATAGAGAATATGACATTCCAAAAGGAGGAATTAGAGCCTTCTTATTATAGATATAGTGACAACAGCAAACCTACAATCATACTTAATACCATGAAAATGCTACGATCTCTGGATGTAAGTATGGATAATTTACCACGAAGAATTCTAGATGATAGTAAGGGCCACACTATCATACCTGAAAACGCTATGCTTTCTGGATGCTAATATGAGTAACTTACCACGAGGAATTCTAGATGATAGTAAGGGCCACACTATCATACCTGAAAACGCTACGACGTCTGGATGCTAGTATGAGTAACTTACCACTACTGCCTCGCGATGGTAGTAAGAACCATTTTGACTGTAGAGGTACGTAAGGTTGCTGGGATTGACGTCAGCAGTTTTTGTGATTTCTGTCAGAACTATAAAATCAGGATAATACTCCTGAAATGAAAATCTCAAAATTAAAACATTCTTTCCTCCGACTAAATCGTAATCGTAATACGAAGACAAAATATCATAAAAAGCGTTTATCATGGGGACTCCGGATAGTATAAGGAGAAAAGTACCAGGAAGTGAGAAGATTATCAATTGTTTTCAAAATATTTCGATTGGATGAAAACTTGAGCCTGTAAATTCAAATGAAACAAGAGAGCAATATTTGATGAAACCTGTTTTGTATTCTGTCCTCTGTTGTAGTTCTTACTTATATCAAATTTGATAATTCCTCTACGAAATAGGAATAATAATTTTTGTGTTTTCAAATCCAAGATGGTTAACTGTCGGCCATTTTGGTTTTTCTTGTTACTTCCGAAATCAAATGACAAAGCTAGGGAACCTTTAACTAGAATTTTAGAAAAATCCATCCAAGTTTTCTCACACTGAAACGAAACTTTCTTTATCAAAATACAAGGTGACTGTCTGTCAGTCATTTTTTTATCAATCTCAAAATCAAAAGGACGTACCTAAGGACCAAAGGGAACTTATATGTAAAATGTTGGAAAGATTTATTGTGTCTCCCAAAAGAGAGTAATAAAAGATGACCCTATACAATATTGAAGATGGACGACTTTCGGTAGCCGTCCCATTTGGGGATAATTATCCATCTTGCCTTCTCAGCAAAAAAAGTCAATTAGAATTGTTTAAGGACAGACGGACGACGACGGAAGACAGACGAAGAGCGATTTTGATGATTGGGCTTGAAGTAGCACTTTACATATAATCATCATTAAGTCCGTGCCACACAATTACTTTGAAATGCAGGACAAATACCTGTTATTCACAGAAAAGCATTAATGATAAGAAATAATGGATTTCTATCTGTAAACCTTCTCTGTTGTCTCTACCGGTAAAAGAATAATAGCAACAAACAACCTTGTTGCTTTAGATTACTTTTTTAAGATTATACCTTTTAAGACACATCACCAGGGCAAAAGACCTTCGAACTTCTTTCATAGAGTGTTACTGTACAGAACGATTAATTAGATGTTATCAAATTATCGCGGTTTTTTATCAATACGTTGAAAATTCTCAATTATAAAAATTTTAAAGGACAACACTTTTTTCTGTAAGTCGATTCAACCTTTACAGAGAGACCTAGATATTTCTGAATAGGGTCCCATTACAGAGAACACACGACGAAAATCCTGTAACGAAGCATCATTTGGCCTATGTCTTTCTCAACTGATTCATTTTTCTTTATATTTTATCTCTCGACTTTTATCCATTGTCAGAATGAAAAAGCTTGGCAATATTACAATTCATGCTTACGATTGCTGGTCGATGTATTGGTATTTTCCCTCTCCATTCTGTTACGTTGTTACTGACGATCCTGGCTTCAAAAAGCAGTGGAGAATTATTGACATGTAAACTGTCATTAATATAAGTAACCATCATATTCATTCTGACGTAGTGAGTAGTTCCTCCTTCTTCATTTAACATTACTGTATTAGTCAGAGGACTAAATTTCACTTGTAGTCTCCCGATCATTCCGTCATCTCGTCTGAAATAGTGAAGAGAAATTGTAAAATTCTCTGAATTAGTTTTGATTGATTTTTATCTTTGATCTCACCTGTAATACAGATGCTATGAAAGGATGCATTACGACTAAATCATATTTTATAGTAACGCTGTGAACTGAACGGGCTATTAGAATATCACCAACCCAAACTTATGTTAGGATTTTACAAACATTGAAAGTTCTAGTAAGGGGTTTATTAGGACTGTAAAATCCCGCACGCTAAATATCCTTCTGTGGCTTTTCGAAAAAGAGAAGGCGTGCTAACTACAATCCAAGGATTTAGGGTTAAAGTTAGGCCATACAATGTGTTTTAGGCATTTGACGAATTTGCAAATTACCTAAACCATGTTTGTCACTAATCCTTCCTGTCAACTTATAGACATGTTTCAAACTGCTAGAGTTAGAATAAGGCATTATTAGGCAGTGGAGTCGTCTACCATAATCAGGCTCTCACCGCTACAGACAGTTCCATCTCTTTGAGGGGTCAAAAAACTGAAAACTAACCAAGTAAAAAAGGGGTTGCGAAAGAAATTCCGCCATCTAGATTTCGTTGCGTATGGCGGTCTCAGCAACCCCAACCAAAGACCTCCGTCCACCTAATAACACCATTGGAGTGTGTGACGTCATCATTTCCCCCCTTATTGTATAAGAGTGTTTGACATCATCGCTTTTATTTACTTACCATTCCTGTTTCTTTTTCTTAAAATGGAGTCTGTGTATTTGGACTAACGGGTTGATTTTGATGACGCCATTGATGTTTTTTGCTGTTGTATTGTACGTATTACGACTGACAAGTTGGTTTTGATGATGTCAAATTTTCGACTGTACCGTAGAGTGTATAATCCTTTTTTTAAAAAAGGTATATTACTTCTAGGCGTGTTAAGGTGTGCATTGTTGGTATTTTGCATGCAAAACATAATTTACACGTTTTTATCACAAAATATTGTTATTTTATTGCTAAAAAACACAAAAAAATATTACATTTCTTTAAATTATCACATGTTCTATTTGTAGAATATATTTTTAACGAAGAAAACTATAATGTTAAACCTTTTTGTTCAAAATATGCAATGATGATTGGAAATCAAACTTTTGCTGATGTTTTGCTGCTGTATGCTGCTTTTTGTTGTAGTTTGCGAATGTTTGCTACATTTTAATGCTGTTTTGCTGTTGTTTACTGCTGGTATTTGCATGCAAACACTGATATTTTTATTGACAAAAGTTTAGAATTTTACAATATTTATTTACAGAATATTTCAACATTTTGATAGTGACAGAACAACATTTCTTTCATCTTCTTATTCTTTGAATATTAACATCTTACTTTTGAAAAACATTTTTGGACTCAAAATGTGCAATTTGGACATTTAAACTATTCAGTGATTTTCTAATGATGGCTATCGGTCTCTGGGTTGTTAACAATTATTGCAAAAATTGTAAAGAACAGGGTATCATCGATTTTTATGGTCTAATAATAAATCATCTTTCTTGGAACAAAATTATCTACAATGTACATACTAAATATTTGCATCGAAATCTTTTCTAAGCATTTCCGTTAAATCAGACCTAGCCATCTCACTTTCTCTGAGTACCAAATAAAATATAGAGTACTCACCACACACTAGATAGTTATGTTGCTGTATATGGTCATATCTGCACGTTATACACTTGTTTATTTTAAAGTTAAGGGATCGTTAATACTCTTCACTTCTATGTATACGGCAATCCAGTTTTGACCTTGTTTCGTATGTGGATGGGTATTACAGACTAACGAACATGGCGACCTTATTGCACGAGGCATAGACACTTTTCAAAATAGGTGAAATATTTTTAAGATGTTTCTTATTTCTATTCGTTTTTTTAGACAATGAAATTAAATGAAAAGAAAATAAGACCTGTCGATTTCTAAGATGCTGCCGAATTCGGCATACAGGCTGTTGTTGATTTTATTTGGTCAAGCGTTCACCGAAATGAATTTCCAGAGACAACATTCCTCTCTTCATAACGTGAATTGTGCTAATTCAGAAAGATCGGGCGTCAGGACGAATCCAAACAAAGTATTGCCGTTTCCGCATTCCTCCCTTGCAATGTTATTACCCTCGTCGTTGAAAATTTTGCTTATTCTACTGAATAAACCCAGATAGCTTCTTATGCGGCTGTAAAGGTTTTGACGGAACCTGATTGCCATCCATGTTCAACACGACGTAAGTCATTCTTTAGTGTTTGAAACTAAATGGATTATTGTTAATGACGCCGCTATAGGCATTGCTGTCTACGCATCCCACGACTAATCTCTTGGGCATTTGTCCTATAAACAGTTTGTCTTTTACGAATTCGAGTTTCCCCCTCGGAATGGAAGCAGCGTTCATTTCTATTCTGCTGATGTGGTATTTGACGAGAGTCAGGTCTAACGCGTCCCTATGTGCCAATCTAACCGACGAACTAGGTTTCACTTTCGACACGTTCAGTTAAATGTCTTCTATGGTCACTATGTACCCGTCGACTTCTTCCATCAGACAAAACGAATCTTTACTTCTAGTTAAAGTTATCCTCACATCTACTTTATTAATTTAGTATCTCTATGTAGCTATTCGATGTCAGTTATTTCCTTCTGATATAACCGTGATTGTCGGCTCTAGTCGTGTCCATTTTCGTACTCGTTTTTTTTTTATAATATACTTCCCTTCAACGGAGATTCTTTAGCCGCTTAACGAAGCTTTAGAGAGTTTCCATGTAAGCTCTATAAGCATACAGGTTATTCGATGGGGAAACGACTTTTTCGTTCAGACTTAAAGCCGACATCCGAAAAAAGGTTATGTAATTATAGTTTTGTAGCCGCTACACTGTCGTCGTTAGTCGTGTTGGAACCGTCGTTCTTTACTCTTCGTGCTGTGGCGTATATAAAGGTATTTCCCAGGTCTAGGTACTCTTCACCGGCTCCGGAAATGTCCACCATCTTTTATTGCATTTACAGATCATATCTGATGCAATATCCGTCTTCTACACTAGCTTGAGTAGAAGGTACGTGAAACATCTAATTTTAATTTTTTACATTTGCTCGAATTAGAATGAACTGTATTTTTGGAGGTGAAAAATGTTAAATCTGGCCAATAAATAAATGTGAGTGTTAAATTAAAAAGAAGCATTGTAAAATTTCTTTTATCAGTAAAATAGTAATATTTTGTAATAAAACTGTAAAAATGATGTTCTGCATGCAAAATACCAATAATAAACGTCACACACTCCTATACAATACGTAAACAAAACCGATGGCATCACACATTCCAATGATTATATCATGTGGTTACCAGCCTTTGGTTGGAGGTTGCTAAGGCCGCAACCTTGATTTTGCTGACTTCGATATTTTCCTGCGATGAAAATATCAGTAACAGTTTTTCATCAAGCTGTAAGATAAGCGTGATGATTTTGTCCTATTGTGAATATGTTATTTCTATATAACACCATCCCTTCTACTCCATCCTACGGTGTTAATATATCGCAGTTCACTGAATAGCCATGGGCGTTTTCCCAAAATCACGGTTTTCCTGCACAATATCGACAACACCCTAAACGTTAATCTTAGTTAATCAAATCAGCCTCTAATTATTTAGGGACGAAGCATCTTTAACTTGAAATAATCTTCAACAAATTCAGCTTTAAACAAAAAAAGTCCGTAAAACTTATTGAAATATACATCACTGGTTACTGGTAACAACTTTTTAGGAAAATACAGCTCTCATTATTGAAGGCTTTCTCCTTTTACATAGTAGTGTTCAGAAAGAAATGTGTTAAATTGGTCAAACGTTTCTGGAAGTCATTAAAAATCCATTAAGTTCCACGTTTAGAGCAATCAATATCACACAGATTGTAATATTAATTTGACTGACAATTTTACTTAAAAGATCTGAAAACGGTTCAGATCAACAACTAGGACGTCCACTGATTACCTGGTATCTTATTGTATCCTTGTGAATTTTTTGAAATCAACTTGGTTATAATGTCTGTATCTTAATGATTAATATGCGTTTCTGCGAAGGTCTGTCGTTTGATGCTACAACACTAAAGCCCATTATTTAAATACATCATACATACCATTAAAGTATGTTAAACACCACAGCTGCCAATACCATGTCCAGAGACCTATCATATTGATTTAATCTTAAACTCATCTCTATTATTAGAAATCAACTTAAAGATATGAAACCATCAACATAAGTACGCTATGGATGCCAAGAGCTGTCAAAGTAAGTAACGAACGGTTAGTTTTGTTATGAATGTTCCTACCTTGTAATTATTGTTTTCTGTCGAAAAGCCACACTCTTTCCTCTTTGTATTTTTTCAAAGCCACACAACATGAAGGCCTGCTCGGCAGATTCTGTTGGCATCTCCACTAGCATACGGCCGTAAGATGTATCAGGCTTAGTTTGCATTCTTAGCATCAGATTAGTGCTGGCTGTTACGGACGGACATACCTCCGTGAGTGTAATACTATCGGGTATCTATAACGTGAAAAAGCATCATACTATAATTAGATAATGTGCAAAAATAATTCAAACATGTCTGTACATCAAAGTAAACGTCGTCGATGAAGTAGCTTACTCTTTCAGAACACCTGGTCTTATTCTCCTCATACTTTATTTAGGGGTATTCGTGGTGTAAATCTTTCTTTTGTTCATATTTTGTCCTAGATTGATTGAATTGGAGTTCAAATATATGTTTTTACAGAAGGCTGACACCGCCTTGTTAATTTATGTAAAACATGCATTCATAATAGCTATGGTATATTGTTTAATAAACATTTCTGGTTGTACGATGGTTAATATATAACGAGATTCTCATCGTTTTATAGTGTAAAACATTTTATATATTAAAGGTTGTACAGTTTTACTTGTTCTACTGGTTGTTATCTATATATAAATTTTATATATTTTACAACAATAGAGAAAGAAGTTTTAAGTTTATATTTTTCAGTATTGATAGAAGCACGAGAGGGTCTTCCATTAGGAGGAAACCGGAGTACCCGGGGAAAACCAACGTGGTCGGGCCAGGTTGACCCCATACATTTTTTAGGTCTGTACCGGGAATAATATATATTACATAATTGCATAAAACAGAAGAAATGAAAAAGAAAACTATATTGTGTTTCATGAGAGCATTATTTTTAGAAGCTTTTGAAATAACCATAACAACCTTTTGGTAATAGTATATTCTTTACCGCGAATATTTCCTGATCCGTAACGGTGAAGAAGAATTGGAATAATTGTGATGAACTGCTTCCTGGTAAGGTCAAAACCACTTTCATTTTATAGGTTGAATATGCTTCCGCAAAGTCAGGGAGCACAAGAACGGTAATATTTACACCAATCCTGTTTGCCTCAACACTTCCTGTAGTGTAGGGTATGTTGGAGATATGGATGTCACATTGACGTTTACCTCTTAAAAATGTTAATGGAGAAACACATGGGATATTTGATCCCACCAATGGAAATCGTGTATGCGATACGGTTATTCCGCCACTTCCCAGTCCAGAATACCGCCATATTGATGCCTTCAAATTGTATAACCCGGATGTTAACGGAGGAACCTCCCAAATCAACATCACACTTCCTGATCCACTTTTAGGTAATGACGGAGACTCCTGAGTCGTCCTAACGCGTATATCCGTAAGCTGAAAACAGTAATCATACAGTCAAACATGTCGGTAAGACCAGGAGAAGAAGCAGATGTTGTATTGATATAGTTAAACCTGTCTACAAAGATCATTCAAGGAAGCTGAGATATATTAATGGTGACAGAAAACCAAAACCAATAAAATAACTGCCGATGAGTGTTATAAAGTATCATAACAAACAAAAACGTGATATTTCACACAAATTTAGAGGGTTTGGTAAGTAAATTGAGTTCTTCAGTCGATCTTGCGAAGCACAACGGTCTTGACTGAGTTATCGCCCTTATCTGTGACGTCATATGTGACAAGCGCTCCCATCCAGACCGAAGACAGCGGTACCAGTCCTGCCAATGCCCGTAATGACCAACACTATTCAGTCGGCTCAACTCCGAGCAGAAGCCGGTCTAGGCCTAGCACAGCAGTCCAGAAAAGGCGACATCTCGAGGTAAATAACTGCATCAGTTGTATTAAAAACTGTAGTATGTACGTAATATTTTAAAGTAATAATGTATTGTACTTGCAAGCCACATACAATGTAATTATAATATAAGCTAATCTATGCCTAACCACAGTGAACTGCACCCCCCCCCCCTTTCTGATATTACTGGCAGCACATAAAATGTTTTCCACTTGTTTATTTAGTTTATCCATTTATTTTTTAGTTTTTTTGTTTGTAGATTGTGACAGACGTAACAAATCAACAGCTGATTAGTACGAATTACAGGTCTGAACAAATTCAATACCATCCAAATCAGCTGCACATGGAGACACTAGAGACATACAATGTTGGCTGTCAGACCTCATACAACCTTGCAGAATGTACATATAATATATACTATTATGGTGTTCTCTGAATGCATTTCGGGTACACATATATACCACCCCCTCTTCCTCTCCGGTATATATAATTTCACCCAGCATATTTATGAAGGCCATGCACTTCTGCTCTTGAAAATGGATTGTGATGCAATATAATTTTTGATAAAATACAGAAAAGTACATCTTTTATTATAATTCTTGATCATTATATGTTTTCAAATGATATGAACATCTCATAGTGTAAGTAGGTTCAAAATGTATTGCCCATCCAAGAAATAGAAGTGTTAATAACATCATTAACGTATATGATTAGTTCATGTGAATCACATGGCTATTCTAATATTTGATGTGAATCAATAGATTGGAATGTTCTGGCAATCTATACGGAGTTCACAGCAATTAATTTTTTCCCAGAAACGTCGTCATGTTAGTCTACAGACCAAAAATATCAGAAATGAAGACTCCGGTTACATCTTGTGGGGTATAGGCCACATGCCTGACTGTGTCTACATCCATTCAATACCACAGATACAACACCATCTAGAAAGATATGGAGAATTATTCTAATGATGAGAGCGACATGGATATTTCTCTGCCAGATCAGGACTATGATTCAGAAGAAGATCTAGAGGATTATGCAGATTTGGAAGACAATCTCACAACAACACATGAATTGGACAGTGACGACACTGATCCAGACAAAGCCCACAAGTATGTTGTGTTTGAACAATGTCTGTTTGAACTGCTGGACATATGTGCTGTCTGCAGCAGGAGAAACTTGCAACACATGAAAACAACAGTTTGTACTTGTGTTTGTGTAACAAGTATATGTGCATGTGGATTTATCAGAAAATGGCAGAGCCAGGACCTACATTGTTCCATCCACATTATCATGCTGGCAACATCAGCAATCAGTATATTTGAATTACATCAAAAACAGTGGCAGTTCCTTGAAACTAGGTGGTGATGCTAGATGCAGTTTCCCAGGACACTGCAAAATACGGATCCTACACACTTATCCATGTAGAAACTGCCAAAGTGGTGGATATTCAGCTTGTCCAGGTAATTAAGTGAAGACTTTGTATATGTGTGCATTTATTGATCAGTATTATGGAAAGGGGGAACCATGTTTTTAATCATTTTTCAGTTCATTAATACCCATGTTAATTATATTAAAGTCAAATGAAGTGAAAATTCATACGCAATGGAACTGAAAGGACTGAAGCGCTGCTTCCAATTCTTAAAAGATAAGGACATACCAATATCTGATTTGTTGACTGACAGACACTGCCAAGTCCAAAAGCTGATGAAAAGTGACCATCCAAATATAGACCATAGGTTTGATGTTTGGCATGTTGCAAAGGGTAAGCACTTACTTCGGTATGTTACCCTGTATTAACTGCTAGCTATATATAGGTGTTTATTTCATTTCACCTCTGAAGATTTGCTGAATTAGCAATAGGCGCCAATGCTGGGTAATAAGCTCCCCCAACCCCATTAGGGGATGTCTTGTATTAATAAACACACACACCTCCCCTTTGACCTGAGTAGACCTTGCCAAGTCGCAATACATATGCAAAATATTCTGTTACCAGGTATGTTCTGTCAGTGTTTGATAGACCTCTTTTTTGATATCCTTCATTTTAATAACAAAGTGATTAATATGTTGGCTGAATCTACATGAAATGTCCATTGTGAAAAATCAAAGATGGCAACCGAGGATGTTTAGACCCATATCCAGTAAAAAAAAACCCAACCCTTTCTTCCGACTTTATTTCATGAACACCTCTTAGGGCTATTGGAGGACAAATGCTGTACATTTTCCTTCGGAGAAAAATAGCCAGTTACTATCCATGACTCTAGAATATATATGGAAATTAATAAGTATTAAATTGCTAATGAATTTCTTATTTTACAAAGGTGTCTACAAGAAACTAGAAGCTCTTGGAAACTAGAAGTACAAAATAGCTGGAGAATGGGCCAGATCTATAAGCAACCATGCTTACTGGTGTGCTGCCAGCAGTGGAGGAAATGCAGAACTTGTACGAAAAAAATTGACAAGTATCCTGAACCATGTCGCTAATATTCACGAGGGGCATAGAGATCTTTTCCACATGGGGACATCTCAAGAAGGTGGATCAAGCCAGGTAATTATAAGATACTAATTGAGATTATAGATAATAAGAATTTTAATTAGATAATAAGATATTTTCCATTATCATATTATGAATTTGTAATACTTTTCAAATAACAGGCTTCCTTTCTAATCATACATATATAAAAATGTAAATGCACAGTGATCCTTTTGAATTAACCAAAGTTACAGTTTGTAAATATTTGTCTCAGTTAACACTTCCAAACCTAGTCTATGCACAGAATAAGGGTGGAAAGCAAAGGGAAGTAGTTCTTGCTTTTCAAGATGTTATTGATATTTATTACTCATTCAGTATTTTTACTGCACTTGTTAAAGATCTTATTTCTGCCCTTTCGTTTCAGGAAATGGAAAAAATTGTATGTGGGAAACTCCTGATGAAAGATGTTCGAGAGTTGTCCTCAGCACATCAGACGTCATGCTTGGACGCTTCACACAATGCACCAAAGACCAGCTATTTCTTTTACAATCAGATGAAAGCAAGGTGAGATATACCGATATACTGCAGTGCTTATAGAAATAAAACACCAGAAATAAATCACTATGACCCTGATATGATACCGTATTTATCATGCAATAAGCCCAGGGGGCCAGTGTCTAATAATAGAAAAAAAAATGGGTGGGCTTATTACCAGGCATGGGCTTATTACCGGATAAATACAGTACCCTGATGAATAAATTCACAAGATATGGTACCTTATTGAATACTTTTCTTTAATAATTCTGCACAGACTGGACTATTTGCTTAACACATACTGTACTACCATATTTCAGACTGGCAGCTTTTCATTTCAACTCTGGAGGATGGGATTGCCAGATACCGAATTGCTTTCTCGAAAGGAAGAAAAGGAGATGCTGTCCCAAAGGAGATTAAAAGTCAAACAGAACTTCAGTATGTTAATTTTATTTACCTGCCCTGATATCTTAACAAAAAATTAATGTGATATTTTAAATATAAAAGTATATTAATGATATCCATTTTATTGAAGTAAATAATTTTTCACTGTTTTACTTTAGATAAATCTAAACAATTTTTAGAGAACCTTACTGGTATTCTATAACATATTAACATAACTACCTGGCATAACAAATTAGATGGTGATAACAAGACACCTCATTATGACTGTGACCATTCAAGTTATAGTTTTTATTGTTCTTGTTCTGCCTTAAACTGTTAATGTCAACTTGCCAACAGATTACATCACAGTGTTGATGGAGGAGGTTGTAGTCAGAAGGCTCCAATTCACAACCATTCAACAGGCTGAAGCAGCACTTTTTTAAGGAAATGGATACTCCTCCTCCTTCCATTGCAAGTCAACTCCGCAGTGCCATGGGGAATTTCGACAGAGACGAAATCATCCATAACCATTGTCGGAGATTTACCATATATTACAAGCCGATACTTCCTGAAGTGAAAAAAAATTGTTATGAAATTTTGAAAAGTTTGAAGACACTGGTACATGAAGGCATATATACAAGAATTTGCAGTGTAATTTAAGTGCTACAAAATGGACTGTGGTCAAAAGTTATTGCTAATCCACTACTTAGTGGTGAAATATAGGAATTGATTATTTAGTTAGGTATGCTATGTAGAGGTTTCATTAGTAAGAGAGGATATCAATGTTCAATTTAATCTGTTAGACAAAGATGTTCATTTAAATTGTCCTTTACAGTATATACCTGTGAATGTCTTGTTGTCCTCTTGGGTCGTGTGTTTCAGCATATTCATAGTAGGATGTTTCAAAAACATGCATGTTTAGACAATTCGCAGTAAACCCTTCATGTTGGGCGATACAGCTTATGTCGGTCAACTTTTCTTCTAATATACTCATGTCCTGACAGCATTTTCTTTCCTCCTCAGTGGCCATATGGAAACACATGTTATCAGACAGGCTGATCGGAAGCCATGCTATCTTCGTCATCCTCGTCACCCTCGTTACCTCTTATATGCAGTTCCGCGGAACAATGTGACAAATCTGAGTCGATGTGATTGTCCTTGTTCGATGTCTCAGGTTCATACATATATGGATGAATATATAGCGTGAATGACACCTCTGGAATATCGTCGATGTCGCTACAATCGGAGTTATATACGTGCGCCATGATCAGTTTCTGATCAGATTGTCACTTATGACGTCACAGCGGTTTCGAATTCAAGGGCGATAACTCATCCAAGATTCTTTGATGCGATTTCTACCGAACATTTATTATTTCACCATTTTAAGATAAACGACACATATATAATCTTTGCAAGTTATAAATATATTACATTTAATAACCAGGGAACGTTATAAATAAGGAAATTTACAAAAACAAAAGTGCATTTCGTTCACCTTAATACAGTTAAACCTGCCTACTGAGATATACTTCTGATTCAGTAAAACCTTCTATAACGACAATTAGAGGAGAATTGACTACTTTCCCAAGTAGAAGAACTTTATAGCAGTGCACTTTGATAATTGTATTGTCCTTTTAGCGAACACCGGTGACCTTCTAGGCAAGTGTTTATATTTTCATTAATCGTGAAGAGTAAATATATGCAACACCAATTTATGTCATATATGGTACTTCTTGAGTATCGAACTGCGTTCCGTATAATTACCGACACTGGTAAATTTGTATCTTAACCACATCTGGGTCATGTTGTTTCCATCGTTCAGTTCACATTGATTGTTAAAACTCGAAATATAGTTACAATTTTGTTTATTGAAAGGGATCCAGCTCTGATGTAAGCTCCCGGTCAGACCATCATTATAAAACAACGATATTTTTGTTATGTTCTGCACGTAAACTGTTTTGGAGCTTCCTTAAAAATGGTTCTTCATTCTAACACGGAAATGTATAATATTTTAGTATATCCTACAATTCACTTATGTGCCTTTTTGTACAATCCTTTTGAGATTGTATAGGTTGTAAAGCTGGTGACATTTCAGTCATAAGGTTTTACTAGCCTGCATGCCATTTTCTATATCATATTTTAATTGCATTTTGCAATTAAAATGTGTGTGTTTTGTGTAATTTAAACTTAATTTGAAATGTGTTATTCACTCATGTCTTTTGCACAATCTAAATGAAAGTTATTATTCACTTGCGTGTCTTTTTAGAAATCTACATTTGTATTAAAGGGCGCTATACACTGATGTCCTTTGTGTAATTTAAATTTGTGTTGGAAGATGTTTTTCACGTGTGTGTCGTTTGTACAATCTAAATACTTGTTTTGAAAGGAGCTGTTCACATGACTTTCTTTTGTATAATCTAGATTTGTGTTGAAAGGTGCTATTCTGTTGTGTTTTTTGTACAATTTTTGATAATAAAAGAATTGAAAAACAATTTGACAGGAAACAAAATCTTGTGTACTTACAGGTATAAGTTCAGTTGCGTTGAAGTATTTTGTAGTGTAGTTTGTTACCAGAAAATCCACTTCCAATCTTACATCAAGAGAGTACATTTGGCCTGGAGTCGCCTGATCAGTCATCACCAGGATAACTTCTATTGTTACAGCATTAGCGGATATGTTGGTGTTAGCATAAGCTCCTGAAATAAACATATCAGCACTGACTGAAATTTATCTTACGATTAAAAAAACCCTGACTTAAACTTACTGAATGTAGTAATTAAATCTTATTGTCTGTCTGTTGGTCGGTCGGTCTGTATAAGTGATCTATATGTGATTGTGATGTATAATAATATGTGGTGACAATGACCATAAAGTTTTTTAAGTAAACTGCTTCGTAGTTAGCTTGGTAATTTCATTACTACGTTAACACTCTGTAAACAGTGTGGTATTTTTTATTAATGTGTTAACATTCCATAAACAGCTGGCTAATTTTACTACTGTGTTAGCCCTCCGTAAATGGCTGCTTAATTCTATTATTGTGTCAACACTTCATAAACAGCTGAGTCATTTTATTATTGTTTTATCCTTCCATACATAACTGTAATTTTATTACTGTTAACCCTTCATTAACAGACGTAGACAAACAGCTGGGTAATTTGATTACTGTGTTATCCCTCCATAAACAGCTGGGTAGGATTAAGATTGTGTTAGCCCTCCGTAGATATCTGGGAAAACTGATTACTGTGTTAGCACTCCATAAGAAGATGGGTAATTTTATTACTGTGTTAAAGCACAATAAACTGGGTTATTCTTGTGTTAAAGCACCGTAAACAGACGGGTTGTTTTTATACCGGATATCTTTGTACTACCTAGTGGCTACCTCATTTTACATCTACAGGATGTTCATCACATGTGATCTTGATCAATGGTGTTTAAATTATCTAATAAATTATTTATCAGCCGATATAAACACATTGCTCATATTAATTATACTATGACGGTATATATAGACACTTAATGAAAAAAGAAAAGAAAATTCAAACTCAAACATGATGAAACTAGTGCAGGTTATGAGTAAAAGAATCATCTACAGGAATAAGACAATGTGTTTCGGGAGTGCAGTCGTCTTCAGCTTCATCGACGACACCCACCATGCGAATCTTGGTCAATGCAAGTAAATAATATCACTTTCTCGAATGAGAACAGGATATACAGCAACAGAACCAACAAGCAATTTAGCGAGCATCAAACACGTCAAGCTTCATATCGCAGAAAGAAATACAATATTTCTCTATATCATTATGACCATGAAAAATTCCCTTCAATCTAAAGCACATAACATTACAACCTTTATACTTTTTTTTTCATTGTAATTTAGCTTTTTCTATTGGCCAGGAAGGACAAAGTATACCATGTCGTATTGCATGCTACATATTTAGAATAGTTTGCTTTCAGAACACCTCTGACTTTACCTCTTAGATGCTTATTGGTCACCAGACGATATGGTTCTTGGTTGGAGCGATAAAAAAACGTTGATTATCTCATCAACGTACTATGATTGTACAGTATCCTAATTTTATACAGTTTTCTATTTACCTTTGTTAGGCAAGTAACCAAAATGAAGAGTTCGAGTGTCTGGGCCGTCCAAGCAAAACAATCCGTCATCCGGACCAGGACCTGTCGGGATCGGTATGAAATCCTTGAAGTGCCCCCCTACAGACTGTACACGGACTGAAGCAATTCTGAGGTGTGCATCCGGACTCTGTAACACCAGATCGTATGTGGATAACGGATTTCCAAACATTGCATCTAGATGAAATGATTTTACACTACCTGCTGTAAAATTCACCACATCTGGAATATCTGTGAGTAAGTTGACGTTGTTTGAAATATTCTGAAATAGACGAAAGTTGAAGTCAATAAACATTTTATGTTCTGGCGATATATATTTCCTAGATTAAATAGTATAATTCTACAAACGTATTTTAGGGTAAAGATATTCAATGGAGGTAGACTGGTATATTGTTGAGATAAATATTCTTTACCTAAACGTCTTCTGCTTCATGTCATGTTCTCAAATGAGAATAAAGTATACAACAACGGACCCAACAGGCAAACTAACGAGCATCAAACACATTCAGATTGATATCACACAAAGAATTTGTTTCCAATGTTGGTCACTTTGACTTTCAGATAACCTAAATATACATGTCTTATCGTGGATAGGGATTGTGTCATGCACAATGTATTTATCTGAATTATTATTGTATAGGGATATACTCTCTGGGACAACGGATTTGTTACGACAATTCCTGTCGTTGTTTAGAGCGGAAATCCCTAAATAAGCCACCACTAATTTCGTCTAACAGCAGCAACGTAAGGCGTTATCTCGACATGTTTAAGACTTACGTGAATAGTTCTTAACACAAACGTTGGTAGCACTTCCATAGTTTCGTTATCTGAGATGAAAGCTATATTGACCATGCTTGTGTCACCATCAGAGACTCCTTGTATGTCCAACATCAGATACTCTACAG